GCGTTACATGACAGGAGTACTGCTGTGTGGCGTCACATGACAGGATGACTGTGCGGCGTCACATGACAGGAGTACTGCTGTGTGGCGTCACACGACAGGAGTACTGCTGTGTGGCGTCACATGACAGGAGTACTGCTGTGCGGCGTCACATGACAGGAGTACTGCTGTGTGGCGTCACATGACAGGGGTACTGCTGTATGGCGTCACATGACAGGAGTACTACTGTATGGCGTCACATGACAGGAGTACTGCTGTGTGACGTCACATGACAGGAGTACTACTGTGTGGCGTCACATGACAGGGGTACTTCTGTGTGGCGTCACACGACAGGAGTACTGCTGAGGGCGTCACATGATAGGAGTACTGCTGTGCGGCGTTACATGACAGGAGTACTGCTGTGTGGCGTCACATGACAGGGGTACTGCTGTATGCCGTCACATGACAGGGGTACTGCTGTATGGCGTCACATGACAGGAGTACTACTGTATGGCGTCACATGACAGGAGTACTGCTGTGTGACGTCACATGACAGGAGTACTACTGTGTGGCGTCACATGACAGGGGTACTTCTGTGTGGCGTCACACGACAGGAGTACTGCTGAGGGCGTCACATGATAGGAGTACTGCTGTGCGGCGTTACATGACAGGAGTACTGCTGTGTGGCGTCACATGACAGGGGTACTGCTGTATGCCGTCACATGACAGGGGTACTGCTGTGTGGCGTCACATCACAGGAGTACTGCTGTGTGGCGTCACATGACAGGAGTACTGCTGTGTGGCGTCACATGACAGGAGTACTACTGTTTAGCGTCACATGACTGGAAGACTGCTGTGTGGCGTGACATGACAGGAGTAGTACTGTGTGGCGTCACATGACAGGAGTACTAATGTGTGGCGTCACATGACAGGAGTACTGCTGTGCGGCGTCACATGACAGGGGTACTGCTGTATGCCGTCACATGACAGGGGTACTGCTGTGTGGCGTCACATGACAGGAGTACTGCTGTGTGGCGTCACATGACAGGGGTACTGCTGTATGCCGTCATATGACAGGGGTACTGCTGTATGCCGTCACATGACAGGGGTACTGCTGTGTGGCGTCACATGACAGGAGTACTGCTGTGTGGCGTCACACGACAGGAGTAGTGCTGTGTGGCGTCACATGACAGGAGTACTGCTGTGTGGCGTCACATGACAGGAGTACTGCTGTGTGACGTCACATGACAGGCGTACTGCTGTGTGACGTCACATGACAGGCGTACTGCTGTGTGGCGTCACATGACAGGAGTACTACTGTGTGGCGTCACATGACAGGCGTACTGCTGTGTGGCGTCACATGACAGGGGTACTGCTGTATGCCGTCACATGACAGGGGTACTGCTGTGTGGCATCACATGACAGGAGTACTGCTGTGTGGCGTCACACGACAGGAGTACTGCTGTGTGGCGTCACATGACAGGAGTACTACTGTGTGGCGTCACATGACAGGAGTACTTCTGTGTGGCGCCGGCGTCACATGACAGGAGTACTGCTGTGTGGCGTCACATGACAGGAGTACTGCTGTGCGGCGTCACATGACAGGAGTACTGCTGTGGGGCGTCACATGACAGGGGTACTGCTGTATGCCGTCACATGACAGGGGTACTGCTGTATGCCGTCACATGACAGGGGTACTGCTATATGGCGTCATATGACAGGAGTACTGCTGTGTGGCGTCACATGACAGGAGTACTGCTGTGTGGCGTCACACGACAGGAGTACTACTGTTTAGCGTCACATGACTGGAAGACTGCTGTGTGGCGTCACATGACAGGAGTACTACTGTGTGGCGTCACATGACAGGAGTACTACTGTGTGACGTCACATGACAGGAGTACTTCTGTGTGGCGTCACATGACAGCAGTACTGCTGTGTGGCGTCACATGACAGGAGTACTACTGTGTGGCGTCACATGACAGGAGTACTGCTGTTTGGCGTCACATTACAGGAGTACTGCTGTGCGGCGTCACATGACAGGAGTACTGCTGTGTGGCGTCACATGACAGGAGTACTGCTGTGCGGCGTCACATGACAGGAGTACTGCTGTGTGGCGTCACATGACAGGGGTACTGCTGTATGCCGTCACATGACAGGGGTACTGCTGTATGCCGTCACATGACAGGAGTACTGGTGTGTGGCGTCACATGACAGGAGTACTGCTGTGTGGCGTCACATGACAGGAATACTGCTGTGTGGCGTCACATGACAGGATGACTGTGCGGCGTCACATGACAGGAGTACTGCTGTGTGGCGTCACATGACAGGAGTACTGCTGTGTGGCGTCACATTACAGGAGTACTGCTGTGTGGCGTCACATGACAGGAGTACTGCTGTGTGGCGTCACATGACAGGAGTACTGCTGTGCGGCGTCACATGACAGGAGTACTGCTGTGTGGCGTCACATGACAGGGGTACTGCTGTATGCCGTCACATGACAGGGGTACTGCTGTATGCCGTCACATGACAGGAGTGCTGGTGTGTGGCGTCACATGACAGGAGTACTGCTGTGTGGCGTTACATGACAGGAGTACTGCTGTGTGGCGTCACATGACAGGAGTACTGCTGTGTGGCGTCACATGACAGGAGGAGTGCTGTGTGACGTCACATTACAGGCGTACTGCTGTGTGGCGTCACATGACAGGAGTACTGCTGTGTAGCGTCACATGACAGGAGGAGTGCTGTGTGACGTCACATGACAGGAGTACTGCTGTGTGGCGTCACATGACAGGAGTACTGCTGTGCGGCATCACATGACAGGAGTACTGCTGTGTGGCGTCACATGACAGGAGTACTACTGTTTAGCGTCACATGACTGGAAGACTGCTGTGTGGCGTCACATGACAGAAGTACTGCTGTGTGGCGTCACATGACAGGAGTACTACTGTGTGGCGTCACATGACAGGAGTACTGCTGTGTGGCGTCACATGACAGGGGTACTGCTGTATGCCGTCACATGACAGGAGTACTGCTGTGTGGCGTCACATGACAGGAGTACTACTGTGTGGCGTCACATGACAGGAGTACTGCTGTGTGGCGTCACATGACAGGAGTACTACTGTGTGGCGTCACATGACAGGAGTACTTCTGTGTGGCGTCACATGACAGGAGTACTGCTGTGTGGCGTCACATTACAGGAGTACTGCTGTGTGGCGTCACATGACAGGAGTACTGCTGTGTGGCGTCACATGACAGGAGTACTTCTGTGCGGCGTCACATGACAGGAGTACTGCTGTGTGGCGTCACATGACAGGGGTACTGCTGTATGCCGTCACATGACAAGGGTACTGCTGTATGCCGTCACATGACAGGAGTACTGGTGTGTGGCGTCACATGACAGGAGTACTGCTGTGTTGCGTTACATGACAGGAGTACTGCTGTGTGGCGTCACATGACAGGATGACTGTGCGGCGTTACATGAGAGGAGTACTACTGTGTGGCGTCACATGACAGGAGTACTACTGTGTGGCGTCACATGACAGGAGTACTGCTGTGTGGCGTCACATCACAGGGGTACTGCTGTATGCCGTCACATGACAGGGGTACTGCTGTGTGGCGTCACATGACAGGAGTACTACTGTGTGGCGTCACATGACAGGAGTACTGCTGTGTGGCGTCACATGACAGGAGTACTACTGTATGCCGTCACATGACAGGGGTACTGCTGTATGCCGTCACATGACAGAAGTACTGCTGTGTGGCGTCACATGACAGGAGTACTGCTGTGTGGCGTCACATGACAGGAGTACTGCTGTGTGGCGTCACATGACAGGATGACTGTGCGGCGTCACATGACAGGAGTACTGCTGTGTGGCGTCACACGACAGGAGTACTGCTGTGTGGCGTCACATGACAGGAGGAGTGCTGTGTGACGTCACATGACAGGCGTACTGCTGTGTGGCGTCACATGACAGGAGTACTACTGTGTGGCGTCACATGACGGGAGGAGTGCTGTGTGACGTCACATGACAGGAGTACTGCTGTGTGGCGTCACATGACAGGAGTACTACTGTGTGGCGTCACATGACAGGAGTACTTCTGTGTGGCGTCACATGACAGGAGTACTGCTGTGTGGCGTCACATTACAGGAGTACTACTGTGTGGCGTCACATGACAGGAGTACTGCTGTGTGGCGTCACATGACAGGGGTACTGCTGTATGCCGTAACATGACAGGGGTACTGCTGTATGCCGTCACATGACAGGAGTACTGCTGTGTGGCGTCACATGACAGGAGTACTGCTGTGTGGCGTCACATGACAGGAGTACTGCTGTGTGGCGTCACATGACAGGAGTACTACTGTGTGGCGTCACATGACAGGAGGAGTGCCGTGTGACGTCACATGACAGGAGTACTGCTGTGTGGCGTCACATGACAGGAGTACTGCTGTGTGACGTCACATGACAGGAGTACTGCTGTGTGGCGTCACATGACAGGAGGACTGCTAGTCCAATAAACGTACACAACGAGGTAGAAGTCTTATATCTCCATCTTATATTTGCAATTACTATTACACCCTCTGGGAGGACTTTTGATATTCGACATTTTTCTGAAATATTCCATTTATATAATTAAGGGCAGACCCACTGCCGCGCAACCGCAATTCACCACAACGTTCAGAATTTATCAAAATATAATTATAAAAAACTTAATTCGGCATCCAGATGTTCAGTGACGCCTGTTTGCTGGCGGTGTAGGTCGTGATTTAACCTGACGATCAAGGTGGCCTCAGAAGAGAGGGAGTTGAGTTGTCAGCTTGGGTTCGTAGCGTGAGGACGTGTTTTTCGAGAGCTCTGATTGCCCTGATAGCTAACCGAGAAATTGAGACACGAACAAGATTGACATGCACAAACTGTAAGTCTACATTCAGACATTGTAGAAATATATGCGAAAATTTTATTATTGATGTGCAGTGATGGAGGCGCATTTCACCCCAAATCATTCACAACATCAGAATGCCAACACGGATTTTCAGCCAGGCCATGTTGTCCAGCCACAGGCCAGTGTTGACAACGCAGAGTGGATTAAAACCTTATTTGATCAAATGAGGCACTTGACTACCATGGTTCATTCCATAAACCAGAGGATGCAGTGTGTTGATAGCATTGACAGTAAATTAACTATGATTGACAATAAGCTGACATCTCTCGACATTACAATGATAGAGACAACACTTCGCGTTGATAAGCTTGAAGCCTGTGTGAGAGAGACTGCATCAGAAAACAAAAAGCTGAAACAACAGGTACGGGAGCTTACAGAACAGAGTACCGATGATCGGGACAGGTTGTCGAGAGATGTAGAAGACGTGTTTTATGACATAGACTCCATATACCAGGAACAGCGAGACCTGAAAGAATCTGTCATTGACCTGAAAACACGCTCTATGAGAGATAATTTACTCTTTCACGGGATCCCGGAAATGCCTGGAGAAGAACCTAAAGAGGTAATTAAAGGTTTCTTAAAGAAAGAAATGAAGTGTGACACAGACATTCACCTCTTACGTGTACATAGGATTGGCCCTCACTTATCTAACAGACCACGTACTATAGTGGCAAAATTTGCAAATCCAGACGAACGGTGGGAAATCCTGACTAACACAAGACAGCTGAGAGAAACGCAATTCGGTGTTAGTGAACAATTTCCTCAAGAGATTGTGCAGAGACGAAGAGATCTACTCCCCATTTTCAAGGAAGCAAGGAGGCGTGGTTTGAAGTCTAACCTCACAGTAGACAGACTGTATATAGACGGGAGACGTGTATACCCAGGAGACGACCCGTTTATAGATCTCACCCCACGAGACCCTCCCCCCAGCAGGAGATCATACGCGAGTGCCGTCGGTCGGTCAGACAACAGACAACCCAACAAGATGGCCAGGACTGAGGACACGGGAGAAAACAGGCCGCGGTAGGAGAATAACGGAGGTCAGCAAACCCGTGAGTCGCCTAACAGTGAAAACGTAACTTCCCACGAGAAACTTAAGATACTGTCTCTTAATGTGTGTGGGATTAGGACAAAGCTGCTGAACCCCGATTTTGTGAACGATGTGTCCAGATACGATATACTGTGTCTGACTGAAACTAAAACGTGTGATTTAGATGCTGTGAAAATCCCAGGATTCTCAGTTCATATGAATAACAGAACTAACGCACTGAACACACGTGTATCTGGCGGGATCATTGTAGCCATCAAAGAGACACTATTTGACAAGGTCAGCGTCATCGAAAAGATGCATGATATTGTTTTATGGTGTAAGATACCAGGTGATTTCCTGCATGTTAACGATGACCTTATCCTAGGAACTGTGTATATACCACCAGAGCAAAGTAGATTTCATTCACCGGAAATATTTACAACACTAGAAAATGATATCATTCGTATGTCAAACTGCTCACAGTACATGTGTATTGTTGGTGATATGAATTGTCGTACTAAAAATCTTCCGGATTTTATCATTTTGGACGAATATTTATGTGACAATGATATTATTGACGAGGAATTATTGTTTTCAAATGTACAACTTCTAGTTGACACCGGTGTAAAGTTAGATAGAATATCAATGGATACTGAAACAAACTGTAACGGGTATAAACTCCTGGATTTATGTAAAAATAACGGGCTGTATATTGTGAATGGAAGATTAGGCAAAGACAAGGGTATTGGTAAACTGACATGCAGAAATGCCAGTGTTGTCGATTATTGTATTGCATCAGCAGAAACATTCCCATTATTAATAGATTTTGAGGTACAGGAGTTTGACCCGATCTCGTCCGATGTACACTGTGGCTTATCGTTAACGTTAGATTGTACAGCACAACAACTATCTCCAGTTATAGATGTACAAGGATGTACACTGTGGCTTATCGTTAACGTTAGATTGTACAGCACAACAACTGTCTCCAGCTATAGATGTACAAGGATGTACACTGTGGCTTATCGTTAACGTTAGATTGTACAGCACAACAACTATCTCCAGTTATAGATGTACAAGGATGTACACTGTGGCTTATCGTTAACGTTAGATTGTACAGCACAACAACTGTCTCCAGCTATAGATGTACAAGGATGTACACTGTGGCTTATCGTTAACGTTAGATTGTACAGCACAACAACTATCTCCAGCTATAGATGTACAAGGATGTACACTGTGGCTTATCGTTAACGTTAGATTGTACAGCACAACAACTGTCTCCAGCTATAGATGTACAAGGATGTACACTGTGGCTTATCGTTAACGTTAGATTGTACAGCACAACAACTATCTCCAGTTATAGATGTACAAGGATGTACACTGTGGCTTATCGTTAACGTTAGATTGTACAGCACAACAACTGTCTCCAGCTATAGATGTACAAGGATGTACACTGTGGCTTATCGTTAACGTTAGATTGTACAGCACAACAACTATCTCCAGTTATAGATGTACAAGGATGTACACTGTGGCTTATCGTTAACGTTAGATTGTACAGCACAACAACTGTCTCCAGCTATAGATGTACAAGGATGTACACTGTGGCTTATCGTTAACGTTAGATTGTACAGCACAACAACTATCTCCAGCTATAGATGTACAAGGATGTACACTGTGGCTTATCGTTAACGTTAGATTGTACAGCACAACAACTGTCTCCAGCTATAGATGTACAAGGATGTACACTGTGGCTTATCGTTAACGTTAGATTGTACAGCACAACAACTATCTCCAGTTATAGATGTACAAGGATGTACACTGTGGCTTATCGTTAACGTTAGATTGTACAGCACAACAACTGTCTCCAGCTATAGATGTACAAGGATGTACACTGTGGCTTATCGTTAACGTTAGATTGTACAGCACAACAACTATCTCCAGCTATAGATGTACAAGGATGTACACTGTGGCTTATCGTTAACGTTAGATTGTACAGCACAACAACTGTCTCCAGCTATAGATGTACAAGGATGTACACTGTGGCTTATCGTTAACGTTAGATTGTACAGCACAACAACTGTCTCCAGCTATAGATGTACAAGGATGTACACTGTGGCTTATCGTTAACGTTAGATTGTACATCACAACAACTATCTCCAGCTATAGATGATGACAAGGATGTACATGTACATAAAGTTGTAAAAAGATGGGTTCCTGATAAAAGTGAAACATTTTTATGTAATATCGATAAGGTTGCCATTACCCATCAGTGTACAGAATTAGATGCATGTAAAGACCAAATAGAGCGAAATGACATTAACCAAATTGTAAATAAACTCTCTCAGACGCTGGTTACTGCGGCTGAAACTACTCTAGGTACTGTAAGAAATTCTAGACATTCTGTACATAAGCACAAGCATAAACCCTGGTTTGATGAAAAATGTAAATCATCACGTAGATTTTACCACAAGCGTAAACGTATATATGGAAGGACTGAGGACAGTAATAGCAAAGCTATGTACATTTCAGCTAGTAGAGCTTATAGTAAAACCCTTAAGAAGGCATTTAAGACATATCAAAACAAATGTGTCCAACAACTGAGGGAATGTAAGGATAGTAACCCTAAGAATTTTTGGGAAATTTTAAAATCATTTGAACCAAAGAAAACAGCAGAAAAAATCGGTATTGACAATTTTTTTGAATTTTTTAAAGATCTTAATCAAAGTTCTGATGATAATGACGATGTTTTTGCCAATAACACAAATTACGATAATCATGATGATATCTTAGATTGTAGGATTACAGAAGAAGAAATTATGTCAGCTGTCCGTGCATTGAAGAACAATAAGGCTTGTGGGTTGGATGGTATTTACAATGAGTACATTAAAAGCTCTATTCATGTTATGATGCCGGTTTACGTAAGGCTTTTTAACCTCGTTTTTGACACTGGAGTTTTACCTGAAGCTTGGCTTGTTGGCAAAATAAAACCAATCTACAAAAACAAAGGAAACCAAGCTGACCCAGACAATTACAGAGGTATTTCTATCCTAAGCTGTTTAGGTAAATTGTTCACTACACTATTGAATAATCGTTTACAAGCTTACTCAGTTCAGACTAATCTGATAAGCGAAGCGCAAGCAGGATTTAGAAAAAAATACTCCACAATTGACAATATGTTTATTCTTAAAGCTCTCATTGATATCTATAGAAACCTTAATAAGAAGTTGTATTGTGTTTTCGTCGATTTTAGCAAAGCTTTCGATACAGTATGGAGCTGTGGTCTGTGGACAAAAATGATAAAGTCTAATATCAAAGGAAAATGTTTTAATGTCATATATAATATGTATCAAAATATCAAATCTTGTGTTACACATAATAACAAGGTGTCAGGTTTCTTCCCATGTCAAATTGGTGTAAGACAAGGTGAAAATTTGTCACCTTTCCTGTTTGCTTTATACCTTAATGACCTTGAACAATTTTTATCTGAAAATGACTTTGTAGGACTGCATAATGTAAATAACCTTTTAATAGATTCACTTGAACTGTACATAAAACTTTTTCTCATTTTGTATGCCGACGATACTGTTTTAATGGCCGAAAGCCCAGAAGATTTAAGAAAGTGTCTCACTATATTTGAAGAATATTGTACTATCTGGAAACTTAAAGTCAATGTTGACAAAACGAAAGTTGTTATTTTTGCCAAGCGCTCCACAAATAGAGTCTTCAAGTTTATGTTAAATGGCTCGTTTCTTCATGTTGTTAAAGAATATGTTTACCTTGGTATTTTATTTACAAACACTGGTAGATTCTGTAAGGCACTAAAGAGACTGACAGATCAGGCATCTAGAGCAATGTACGCTGTATTTCGTAAAATTAGAATATTAGAAATTCCTATTGACTGTCAACTGAAATTATTTGATCAACTTGTTCAGCCAGTATTGTTATATGGATCTGAGGTGTGGGGTTTTGAAAATGCTGTTGTCATTGAACGTGTACATCTTAAATTTTGTAAATATATTCTCAAGTTAAAACAGTCAACACCCGATTACATGGTATATGGTGAACTAGGGAGGTATCCTCTCAGCATTTTCATTAAGATAAGAATGATTTCATATTGGTGCAAGCTAACATCATCACAAACTAGCCTTTCTAGTATAGTATATAAACTTATGTTTCAAATGTCCATTGCAAATCCAGATTACCATTTCCCACTATTAAAAGAAGTAAAATGCATTCTTCAAAATATAGGCTTTAATTACATTTGGCTGTCTCAAACCTTTATTAGTGCCGCATGGTTGAAACAAAATGTGAAACATGTTCTCATTGATAATGTTCTGCAAAGATGGCGTGAATCAAAGGAAAATTCATCTAAAGGTTACTATTATAACATGTTTAAAGAGTTACCATCTCTAGAACCTTATTTACTAGAACTACCAATCACCCTACGCATCTCTCTTGCTCGTTTTAGAACAGCAAATCATAGATTACCCATTGAAACAGGAAGATGGTATAATATTGTGAGAGAGGAAAGAAAATGTACATTGTGTAAAAATTTTATATGTGATGAAATGCACTTTTTATTAGAATGTCCAAAACTCTCAGAAATTAGAAACAAGTTTTTGCCTCAATACTACTGTATGTATCCTTCTGCCGTAAAATTCTCTCATTTGATGTCCATTACTTATAAGCCAACTCTATTAAAACTGGCAAGTTATATAAGATCATGTATGGAAATGTTCCACTGACATGTTTTCTTCATTGTATCTTATTCCTGTGTCCAATTACATCTCTGTATCAAAATATGTTTTGTTTAAAAAAATAAAAATAAAAAAAAGTAAGGCAAAACGTGGACGCATTACCTTTGCTTTTTTGTATTTTTGTTTGTTTGTTGGTAATTGGGACACGATGACATGCATGAACCAGTCAGCGAGTCAGCGAGCCTGACCACCCGATCCGGTCAGGCATAGCCGATGTAACGTTGTGCTGTGAGCGCTCAACACATCAAGCTCCGTCTTTATCCGACAAGAAATCCCGGCCCAAGAGGTACAGTCTCCTCGACACGGGACGAAATCATTTTGTTTCCTGCTTAATATCCATCATCACATGGCATTTTTACTCTGTTAAGGCAAGTTGTAATCTCAAATTGCATGTCTGAGTAGTGTATGTGTGCCTTATGTGCACCAATGGGGATCATTGGATGTCTGAGGATTTTATGACTGCTTTGATTCATTACTGTTACATGCATGTTTTGCTGACACTGCGGAAGAAAATTACGCGTGTCATTAGCCTGTATAACTGGACGCTACTTTGTAAAAAGCATTCGAAAAAAGTTCCAGGAGCTTAATCGATGCTTTCCTTTCCAAACGTTTATAATTATTAATATGTTAATACATGCAGTCAACAACCTGACCCAGAATATACAACACAGACACAAGGAACAGATACACAAATGTGAAATACTTTATCACGTCTTTACATATGCATATGAATTTAACCACAGACATATTTCCAGTTCACAACTTTCACTGTCGTGTGAGATAAATTGGCACTAAAGGGTATACCCTTTAATTAACAAATGTTTTGGCGCAGATGCAACTGAACATCTGAAGGTGCAGTCATACTGAGAGGTTATACTTGTCCTCATACCATCAAGTAGCTGATTAATCGGGACTAGTGTCCCGTGATTTTGTTATACTGGTCTAGAATAGATGAATTGACAAAATACAAAACTATAGATTCGATGTTCACTGTTAAACGCGAAGATGTAAATGATTTAGAGAAGTCAAAAGAATGTTGAAACTATGAGATAGACATTATTTTCCATTTATTAATTTACTCGGTGGTTTGTTGTTTTATAGTGAAGGATCGGCATTAATAGTCGCGGAGTAGAACTGTGAATAAATGTCACCAACATGCACGTCTCCAACAACAATGTCACCAACATGCACGTCTCAAACAACGATGTCACCAACATGCACGTCTCCAACAACGATGTCACCAACATGCACGTCTCCAACAACGGTGTCACCAACATACACGTCTCCAACAACGGTGTCACCAACATGCACGTCTCCAACAACAATGTCATCAACATGCACGTCCAAATGACGATGTCACCAATATGAACGTCTCAATGGCGATGTCGCCAACATGAATGTCTCCAACAACGATGTCGCCAACATGCACGTTTCCAATGACGATGCCGTTAATACCCTGCTGGTTCTCCCCCTTTCCTGACATCGGCGACGGCGTGAAGCAGTCCCCCCGTCACGTGGATCGCCGACACTACTGACGCAGCCGTGTTCATGTCTATTTCATGACCTTTGGCCTTTAACCCGTCTATGATATCCTGAAAGAAGGCAAGTATATAATGTATTAGTCCGATATATTTTCCTTACATAAAACAACAACACAAATAAAGGGTAGCTAATTCATAAACGTTCACGGTTTAAACCTAACATGTTAAACCAAATAGCAGGACTGTGTTCTTTACTATAGAAGGGTTAGGAGCGTCTAGACAAGGTCAAATGTATTTATATAAGATAGCTTCGCTATAAATCGCAAAGAACAATGAAGAACGAAGCATGGTCTATTTAAGAAATGCACGAGTTGGGAGTTGTCTATCGTACAATAAAACACTGCAGTGTTTTATCATGAAATGACGTCATATATTGAACGACGTTATTTTTGAGGGGGGAAGTGACCGGTAAGTTGTCCCCTACAGATGTATCTGGGCTACGCAGATAAACGCAATGGCCGAATGATCGCATCCAAAGGTGGGAGAGATATGACAATCGGTATTAGGTGAAAAAATACAGTTATGGACGGAGGATTGTGAGAATATGCGGGAAATACCAAACCTAACCAACCTGTTGCTAAAATGGATTAGTCCGACAATTCGGAGGTCGGATTCTCTTGTGGGAGTCATCGTTATTTATTCTGTTGTAAATATATTTAAAGCTGGTACTTTTCATAACCATCCTTAAAGAGGCTGTACATAATGTTGATATCTCATATAAGAAACAAACGACTCGTGGTCGTGGTTTATCGTACAATAAAACACTGCAGGGAGAATAAAACACACGTGGCTGCGTCCCCAATGGTTTATTCTCCCTGCAGTGATTTTTGTACGATAAACAACAAGCACGAGTCGTTTATTTCATAAAAACACTCATTTTTGTTGCTTTGGGAAATATACTTCATTATATTTTGAAATGCTTTACATCTTCTTCAGAAAAAGAGCTCGTCAGTCTCGAATACTATGGATGGACATACACCCTTGTTGTAATTAAATCGGCAGACACTGTTTCAAATCAAGGTTATTCTCAAATGTCCGTCCAGTGAGTGATTTCAGAGATGAATGAGTTGATATGGAATTTAGGACAAAACAATATTCTATCATGACGTCGTTTCTGGAGACTCGAATAAGCGCTCGTAACTTGATGACGTCATATTTTGGACGACGTTATTTTTTAGGGGGAAGTGACCGGTAAGTTGTTCCCCAAAGATGTATCTAGGCTACGCAGATAAACGCAATGGCCGAATGATCGCATCCAAAGGTGGGAGAGATATGACAATCGGTATTAGTTGAAAAGATACAGATTATCGACGTGAGGATTGTGAGAATATGCGGGAAATACCAAACCTAACCAACCTGTTGGTAAAATGGACTTGTCCGACATTTCTTCTAATCCTAGCCCAGGGAGGACTGTAAACTAAAACGGTCTGATATCTCAGAGACGTGACACTGACAAGCAAAATTGCCCAACTTTGCGGCAATTGACCTATTTACCTGAGAAAAACCTCTCTCAATACGTATTTGCTTCGGCAATAACTGGTGATGTAGACGCTTGTGATCAACTGCATCTGCTATCGGCACCCCCATCCTCAAGGCAAACATCGCCACCTGGCGGCGAGACAAGCAAACAGACTCTTTTAGTGATATCTGACAGGAACTGAGACAGAATGTTCGGCCATGTTTGACTTAAGCGTGGGGATGTCCGCCGGGCTGGATTAAGAGTATTGAACTTTGAACTCCGAGATAGGAATTTAGATAACATGGCATGTGTTTTAACTGTCCAAAAGTAAGGGTTAAGTGTGCATTTTATTGCGCCAGGCACACTTATTACTCCGGCGCCAGATTCACACTTTGTACACAGGCATTTAGAAAAATCTATTTTCATGTTATTCAAATATATATATAATTCATAGTATGGACTTGCATATGAACATTTTACCACGTATAGATGAAACGTCAAAACATCAATATGTTAGGCTGCCATTCGTCTTGGAAATACCTATCGTAGATAAATATGAACATGTTTAATACCAGAGGACATCCTGAATACATACACACGGTCTCGCGAAATGTCCACCAAAAAAGGTTCAAAGTTGATTAGTGTCATCGTGAGAATGTCTAGACTATGAAGTGCGTCATACAATAAAAATAATTATGTTTAACAACTGTCTGTGTTCACACCAATAATAAAACCTTAAAAATACCTTCAACATTAGGTTTTTATTTCGTTCAATTGTTCGTGCACACAGTTATAAAAAATACCTTCAACATTTTGTGTGGATTTCGTTCAAGTGTTTGCGCAAACAGTTATAAAAAATACCTTCTGCGTTTTGCGTGGATTTCGATCGATGGTTTGTATATACAATTATAAAAATACCTTTAACGTTTTGTGTGGATTTAGTTTAATTATTTGTCGATACAATTATAGAAATACCTTCAACATTTGGCGTGGATTTCGTTCAATGATTTGAGTTTACAATTATAAAAATACCTTCAACGTTTTGTGAGGATTTGTTCAATTATTTGTCGATACAATTATAGAAATACCTTTAACATTTGGCGTGGATTTCGTTCAATGGTTTGTATATACAATTATAAAAAATACCTTCAAAAATTTGGGTGGATTTCGTTAAATTGTTTGCGCAAACAGTTATAAACATACCTTCAACATTTTGTGTGGATTTCGTTCCAGTGTTTGTATATACAATTACAAAAATACCTTCTACGTATACATTGTGTGTGGATCTGTTCAAATGTTTGTATGTACAATTATAGAAATATTTTCAACATTTTGTATGGATTTAGTTCACCTGCCCATGTAAACAATTATATAAATACCTTCAACATTTGGCGTGGATTTCGTTCAATTGTCTTTCTATACAATATAAATATAGACATTCAACATTTGGCGTTGATTTAATGCTATAGTTTGTCTGCGTGGATTAATTTCAATTGTTTATACTAACTAAAGCCACTGATGTGGTGATTCTGGTTCCACCGGAAGCACCTATCGTCATGACAACATCACCGGAAGTCTGGTTGACGATGATTGACGGGCACATAGAGGACTGGGGGCGTTTCCTGGGTTTGATGAAGTTGGCTTCAGAGGCAGGGACGCCGAATTGATTGATGATGCCTGGTGTTGAGAAGTCGTCCATTTCATTATTGAAGGTAATCCCGGTTCTACGTCCGCGAATTTTGGAACCAAAACTGCGTGAAATTACAAAATACTGTTAAAATACAAAACCAAATGAATGCTGTCTGATTTCACACTTAAGGTCATCTGTTTCTTTGTTTGTTGTTTAACGCCGCCGCCGGGCTGTGGGCATCGAAGTCCCCAAGGATTATCCAATTTTTGACTACGATACTGAACAACAAAATTCCTGTGACATTGAATACGATTTAATGCAAAGTTATGTTTTTCACGAAATCTCAAACAATTTCGGTTTGCAACAGATAAAATGCTCCCATAAGTGTTCACGTGGTTTAATTTGTCATACTGACTTCAGAAAATGCATGATTGCATTAAAACAACATGAACATGCCAAAATGTCAATTTACAAATCAATAGCGTGTGTGTCCACCTCTGGTTACGATGCAAGAAACACATGGAATGGACCAGGCGTCGCACAAAGTCCTGTGGGATATCTGTCCATATCTGCTGGAGCAAGTTTCGAAGTTCCTGGAGTGTCTGTGGAACACGTGGTTGAAGTCGAAGGTGCCGATCCATCTCATTCCACGTGTGCTCGATTGGTGAGAGATCACGGGAGCGAGCTGGTCAGGGGATGACATTCACGTTGTTTTGTTGAAGAGAATCCTGAACAAGTCGAACAATATGAGGCCGGTGTTGACATGTTGAAAGGTAATGCCTGGGCCATGACGACGCAAAAACGGTAGAACAACAGGGCCGATGATCTCGGCGCGGTAGTGCTGTCCATTGAGATTTCCCTCTACCACTACCAAACGGGTCATCTGTCTTGCTGTAATCCTACCCCATTTCATAACGCTGCCGCCCCCGAACCGATCTTCTTCCATGACACAATGATTGACGTAACGTTCACCTCGACGTCGGTACACTCGAATCCGTCCATCGCTGTGGCTGAGGTGAAAACGAGACTCGTCAGTGAATAGAACTTGTCTCCACTGCATGGCCGTCCAGCGTAGACGCTGTCTGCACCACTGTAGACGTGCTTGGCGGTGGTTTCCTGTCAAAATGGGACGTCTGGCGGGTCTTCTGGCGACAATCCCTGCACATCTTAGGCGACGACGTACGGTTTGTGAAGATATTTGTCAATGGCCAGGGATGCTTCTTGCAGTCACTGTTGCTGGCTGGAATCGATTTCGTACGTGTCTTGTCGAATATTGGTTACGCGTGGCCTGCCACTCCGAGGATGATCTCTGACTGCATTTGTCTATTGCCAACGTTGTCTTAAACACCAAATGGTGTTTTTGTGGGCGTTAAATTGTCTTGCAACATCACGTTGACTAGATCCTGCTTCAAGCATACCAATGGCTCGCAGACGCTCATTTTCGGACAGGTGTGGCATTTCGTAATGTTGAATAATTGCGTAATTTTGTTGTTTTTCTGAGTGGTTGTTGTCAGCACGATGCTAAACAATGCATATGGAATCCCGTTAACGCACATGTCTTTATACCCATTCTTGGGTAGTGAAATGCATGGGGCTTGCATAAAAGTCAACTTTTGCATGGAATGCATGCTTTTCTGTAGCAGTTGCGTTTTTGTGACTTGATTCCATACATGTACTACAATATTGAAAACCAAACTTTACTTGTTTGATAAATACACAAACATATTGGTGTCACTTTTGTTGCTGAGTATATTTGAGCTAATCTTCTTAACTCTTCCACGTTTGTTTCATGCCAGTTTTAAGGAGAATACTTGGGTTTTAAGGTTTCCTACATTCGTTTCGATATTTTTGGAGGTACAGCTGTCGAGGACAAGTGTGATCAGTCCTCCTCCCTTGTTGCCAGGCATTTTTCTTTTTTTTTGGTCTTTTCTATATTGGGTGTACCCAGAAAAAGTGAATTTGGCTTTTTAGCTTAGTTTGGTTTGGTCTCCTGTCTGAGAATGACATGCGGCTTTATCTGTTGTTTTTGACGAATTCATTTTGTTAAATTGCCGTATCTCTTAAAGCCGTTTGAGTTCCACTGCAATAAAAGCAAGTCCATGATTGTTTAGATGAGCGCTCACTGAATTTTAGGGCATAATTTATTTTGGAACTTTGTTTCGTGACGAAAGAACACTTTTTCCACCAGGCTACCCATCCGTCCGGAGACCTGGGGGGAGGCACATGTGTGAGAAACACGGTCTTAAATAGTGTTTGTTTGTTTGCTGTTTAACGCCGCACTCAGCAATATTTCAGCTATATGACGATGGTCTGTAAATAATCGAGCCTGGATCAGACAATCCAGTGATTGACATCATGAGCATCGACCCACGCGTACGCAATTGGGATACGATGACATACATCAACCAATTCAACAAGCCTGACCACTTGATCCCGTTAGTCGCCTTTTACGGCAAGCATGGTTTGCTGAAGACCTAATCTACCCCGGATCTTCACGGATCCAGTAAGTTGTGACAGGCACATTATTGACATCGGCTGATGGAAGACGATGCATGCTATGATCACGAAGCGCTGAAAATTTTTGTGACTGTCCCATTGTGACTGGCAACACATTGAAGTACGTGAAAAGAGGCTGCAAATACTTGCAAAACTAAGTGTACTTTACAGGATAATTATAATAATAATGTGTGAGTTGTCGTAACTATCATAATACAACGTGTCAATATAACCGGGTAATGTAACTGGGTTATATAATTATATAACTTGTTAATATAACCGGTTAAAAAAACAGGTTAAGTTAAATAGTTTATATAACTGGTAAATGCAATTGGGTAATGCAAGTGGGTGATATAGTTAAACACGACTCGGAGGTTTTGCATTTTCCACTAAAACCGAGGAGGTGTGTTTCAACTAACTTGTGAAGTCTAAATGCAAGAAATACCAGAAAGAATAAGAAAACAACGGGATAGTTTATACTGAAAGAATAGAGTTTGTCAAGGTGTAAGAGGAATTCGATGAAAGCGTGCGAGAGAAAAGACAGGTGCAGCATGTATACAACCGAAGTCATGACATGTAAGATTGAACACCCCTTTATCAACTGCCCCGGTGGCTCAGTGGGAAAATAGTTGCTTACAATGCTATATTAGACGTTGCAGGTTCGATTCACGCGAAAATGATGTGTGACTCTTTCCCGGTCAAAGATTAGACACATATGAAAAGGCTGTCTGTAAAACCTGTGTCTTACAATTCAACTGGGTAATATTGCTGGATAATGCAGTTGACCGGGCAATCTAACAAAGTAACAGTTCTTGCTTTTTCTAAGTTCTGAAAACCTTGGTATTCTAAAACTAAGGTACTCACAATGTATTTATCGTGGCCGTTATGGTAACAGCGTTGCCCTCGGCGTCGATGATGCAGGCGTTGGACGTCCCCGTCTTTGTCTGGTCGTAGAACGTCGCCCCGTAATAGTCGGTGTCATGCGTGACGCTGTCTGTGATACTGCCTCGGATGTAGTCGCCAAAGTCAAGCGACGTCATATTTCTAACCAGCTGTGTAAGCGAATGAGTGAGTTCACATTTAACGTCGTTCGGAATAGTTCCTCCATTTAAGGAGTTCCGGAATAGTTCCTCCATTTAAGGAGTTTCGGAATAGTTCCTCCATTGAAGGAGTTCCGGGATAGTTCCTCCATTTAAGGAGTTCCGGAATAGTTCCTCCATTTAAGGTGTTCCGGGGTCGTTCCTCCATTTAAAAAGTTCCGGGATAGATCCTCCATTTAAGGAGCCCCGGAGTCGTTCCTCCATTTAAGGAGTACCGGAGTCGTTCCTCCATTTAAGGAATACCGGAATCGTTCCTCCATTAAAGGAGCCCCGGAATCGTTCCTCCATTTAAGGAGCCCCGGAGTCGTTCCTCCATTTAAGGAGTACCGGAGTCGTTCCTCCATTTAAGGAGTACCGGGGTCGTTCCTCCATTTTAGGAGCCCCGGAGTCGTTCCTCCATTTTAGGAGTACGGAGTCGTTCCTCCATTTAAGGAGCCCCGGAGTCGTTCCTCCATTTTAGGAGTACTGAGTCGTTCCTCCATTTAAGGAGTACCGGAATCGTTCCTCCATTTAAGGAGACCCGGAATCGTTCCTCCATTTAAGGAGTACCGGAGTCGTTCCTCCATTTAAGGAGCCCCGGAGTCGTTCCTCAATTTAAGGAGTACCGGAGTCGTTCCTCCATTTAAGGAGCCCCGGAGTCGTTCCTCCATTTAAGGAGACCCGGAATCGTTCCTCCATTTAAGGAGTACGGAGTCGTTCCTCCATTTAAGGAGCCCCGGAGTCGTTCCTCCATTTAAGGAGTCCCGGAGTCGTTCCTCCATTTAAGGAGACCCGGAATCGTTCCTCCATTTAAGGAGTACGGAGTCGTTCCTCCATTTAAGGAGCCCCGGAGTCGTTCCTCCATTTAAGGAGACCCGGAGTCGTTCCTCCATTTAAGGAGACCCGGAATCGTTCCTCCATTTAAGGAGACCCGGAATCGTTCCTCCATTTAAGGAGTACCGGAGTCGTTCCTCCATTTAAGGAGTACGGAGTCGTTCCTCCATTTAAGGAGCCCCGGAGTCGTTCCTCCATTTTAGGAGTACTGAGTCGTTCCTCCATTTAAGGAGTACCGGAATCGTTCCTCCATTTAAGGAGACCCGGAATGGTTCCTCCATTTAAGGAGTACCCGAGTCGTTCCTCCATTTAAGGAGACCCGGAATCGTTCCTCCATTTAAGGAGTACGGAGTCGTTCCTCCATTTAAGGAGCCCCGGAGTCGTTCCTCCATTTAAGGAGCCCCGGAGTCGTTCCTCCATTTAAGGAGACCCGGAATCGTTCCTCCATTTAAGGAGTACGGAGTCGTTCCTCCATTTAAGGAGCCCCGGAGTCGTTCCTCCATTTAAGGAGACCCGGAGTCGTTCCTCCATTTAAGGAGACCCGGAATCGTTCCTCCATTTAAGGAGACCCGGAATCGTTCCTCCATTTAAGGAGTACCGGAGTCGTTCCTCCATTTAAGGAGTACCCGAGTCGTTCCTCCATTTAAGGAGCCCCGGAGTCGTTCCTCCATTTAAGGAGACCCGGAATCGTTCCTCCATTTAAGGAGTACGGAGTCGTTCCTCCATTTAAGGAGCCCCGGAGTCGTTCCTCCATTTAAGGAGCCCCGGAGTCGTTCCTCCATTTAAGGAGACCCGGAATCGTTCCTCCATTTAAGGAGTACGGAGTCGTTCCTCCATTTAAGGAGCCCCGGAGTCGTTCCTCCATTTAAGGAGACCCGGAGTCGTTCCTCCATTTAAGGAGACCCGGAATCGTTCCTCCTTTTAAGGAGTACCGGAGTCGTTCCTCCATTTAAGGAGACATTCATAAGCCAAAACAAAAACTCACAGATTCAGTAAGCGCAAATTGTAAAAATAATTAATAATAAGATGGGTGGAGTGGAGAGATGGGAGATGTGGATGAGGGCTGGGATTTAGTACCACATATTTCTTCTTTAAAAGTATGACCCTGATTATTTTTTTAGAAAAAAAACATGTAATATTTTTGTGACAAGAATTTTTGTTTTTTTAACTGTCTAAAGCATGATTATATTTTTCAAGAAATTTGAGGACATATTATTTTCCGATAACATGCAAACCCCTCTAATAATACAAAGCAACTCCAGCAGAGTTTGTGTCGTCACACAGATAACATATCTACCCAAGGCATACAACCACTCATGACCTTTCACTTCTGTCACACATGACCTCCCACCTCTGCCACGTCGACAAAGTCCTCGTCCCCCAGATCCGTCCTCTTGGCGTAGGCAAATTTCATGGCTTCCACGATCCGGTGATACGTCAATACGCTCTTCTCATTGGTCGACAGACTGTCGGGCGTGAAGCCGTAACCTAGCAACAAGACATCGTATACTGGATTTCACCCCGTTTTTGAACATTATGCCAGTTACATCACTGCGTTCTAATTCATGTGGGAGGAAAGCCCGAAGCAATACAGGTTAGCCGGTCGAGTATGGTACAGATGAACCAAAATAAAATAATAAAGGATAATCTGAAATCTGATAATAAATTAAATTCTGGCACGACTAAGGGGAGTAACTATCTGTAGCCGGGGTTGCAGCACCAGCGCCCCTAAGGAAACAGGAAAACACAAAGTAATGTTTCATGGTGGCGACTTATATGGGGTCGCTTACCATCCAGGATGTTGAGCATGTACTCGAATACCGCCCCGCTGCCGGGAGGTGGCATGGAGTGGACGGTGAGGTTGTCCCTGAGGGTGACGTTGACGGGCGTCCTCCACGTGGCCGTGTAGAGGTTCAGGTCCTCCCGAGTGATGACCCCGCCTGAGGGAACGAAACAGATATACACCAGCCTTCCATCCGTTCATCTATCCGTCCGTCCGTTCATCCATGCATCCGTCCTTCCGCCCGTCCGTCAACCCATCCATGCATCCGTCCGTCCGTCCGTCCGTCCGTCCGTCCGTCCGTCCGTCAACCCATCCAACCATCCGCGCAGCCTTCCTTTCTTTCATTTATTGGTTGTGTTTACTTAACGTTATCTTATGGTCGTATTTCATTACTGACTTGCGAATAAAACATTCAGGTTGATGTGATGCGTTTACAGGTTGATGTGATACGTTAGCAGGTTGATGTGATGCGTTGACAGGTTGGTGTGTTGCGTTGACAGGTTGATGTTATGCGTTGACAGGTTGATGTGATGCGCATACAGGTTGATGTGATGCGTTGACAGGTTGATTTGATGCGTTGACAGGTTGATGTGGTGCGCATTCAGGTTGATGTGATGCACATTCAGGTTGATGTGATGCGTTGACAGGTTGATGTGATGCACATTCAGGTTGATGTGATGCGTTGACAGGTTGATGTGATGCGTTGACAGGTTGATGTGATGCGTTGAAAGGTTGATATGATACGTTGAAAGGTTGATGTGATGCGTTGAAAGGTTGATGTGATGCGTCTTACGATTTTCTTTTTATTTATTGAAATATAAAATGTTTTTCAAGGGAATTGGAATTTTGATAATGACCCTTATATGTTACTGGTAGATCGTAAGCCCAAAACATCTATCAACGTAACCTGGTCATTCGGAAAGAAATCTTGTAAAATGATACATGATTGAATTCGTATACAATTATTCCTTTGTTAGAATTCACTCCGTCACGCAGTCGCTCAGTCACTCACTCACTCCGTCACGCACTCACTCCGTCACTCACTCACTCGCTCCTTGTACTCACTTATACCTTCACTCACCCCCTCCCCCCCCCCCCCCCCCCCCCCATCCACTCACTCACTCGACACTGAGAATGTTACCGTGCTCGCTGATGTCTGCCACGATGTCGTCAGTCAGGGAGCCGTTGTAGTAGACAGGTGCCCCTTTCTCCGCAATCCTCTCCAGGGTGTCCGCGAGAGCGTGGTACTTCACCCTGTCCCCAACCTTCACAGCCTCGCCCGTCACGTTGTCGAAGTACATCCTGAGGGACACACAGAACTTTGCCCAAACCCAGCGCTACGTTATACACTCTACTTCAACATCAGGTCCACCAGGTCCAGAGCGGCCAAAGCAAGGTTAAACAGCTCAAAGACACGTTCTTGCACACACACGTGTAAGATATGTTCTCCCTTCTTGCACACTCACATCTAAGAAATGTTCTCCCACCTTGCACACTCACGTGCAGGACGTGTTCTCCTACCTTGCATACTCACGTGTAAGATATGTTCTCCTACATTGAGCACTCACGTGTAAGATATGTTCCCCGAACTTGCACACTCACGTATAAGATATGTTCTCCCACCTTGTACACTCACGTATAAGATATGTTTTCCCAACCAGCACACTCACGTGTAAGAAATGTTTTCCAAACCAGCATACTCACGTGTAAGACATGTTTTCCCAACCAGCCCACTCACGTGTAAGACATGTTTTCCCAACCAGCACACTCATGTGTAAGACATGTTTTCCCAACCAGCACACTCACGTGTAAGAAATGTTTTCCCAACCAGCACACTCACGTGTAAGAAATGTTTTCCAAACCAGCATACTCACGTGTAAGACATGTTTTCCCAACCAGCCCACTCACGTGTAAGACATGTTTTCCCAACCAGCACACTCATGTGTAAGACATGTTTTCCCAACCAGCTCACTCACGTGCAGAACATGTTTTCCCAACCAGCACACTCACGTGTAAGACATGTTTTCCCAACCAGCACACTCATGTGTGAGACATGTTTTCCCAACCAGCACACTCACGTGTAAGACATATTCTTCAGGACCTCTGCATATAGTGTGATGGCGCGATGGATTGGCTCGAGGATGGGGACGCCGTTCCTGCAGAGGTCAATGGTTGGCTGGAACAGCTCCCTCCACGGCACGCGGCCGAACCTCTGGTGAGCCTCCCAGTGTCCCATCACGTCCCCCGGAACGCCGATCGCCAACCCCCCTAGGAAAGAAACATCGTTGTTAACGGTGTATTACCCTACGTAGGCTGTGCGGCGTCCAAGGCCGACCCGCGATGCACTGCCAGAATGTTGATGGGGACTATCCAACCTGACACCACCATTCCCCTCTAATTCTGGATTGCGAACCTGGATACCTGCTGCTGTCGACTACATGTGACACGAATCTTGGAACGTCTACTGACACAGCTTCCATAACGGCTCCGTCGCCTGCTACAGCAACTGCCACTTCTACATCATCGACCACTGCGGTTGCTACCACCATGTTGGGCCGCCAGGGAATGATTTGTTCTTCATATTCAGAGAGAGAGAGAGAGAGAGAGAGAGATAGAGAGAGAGAGAGAGAGAGAGAGAGAGAGAGAGAGTGTGTGTCTTACCCAATACAGAGGCTCCCTTGACTTTCCCAATATAGAAACTCTCGTTGGCTACAAGTGGCGCCCTCTCGCGGGCATCCAGGACTTCAACCGCTCTCGTGGACCTGGTGACAAGCACGTTAGATTTACAGGTTAAATTATCGTCAGCGATCTATACCTACTTCACACATAGTAGCAACGTCGGAATCGAACCCGGGTCTATTGGGCGATGCGCAAACACTTTAACCACAAGGCTACCGTTACGTCCCGTTATACAGACAGTCATACAGGTCCGCACACAGCCCGGTTTGTGAGCAATCTCAAAGACGGTGATGTCGCAAGGTTGCCGATCAGAGAGACGGACTGACCTATAAGACAAACGGAGAAGATGGAGAAGTGAAAGAACAGACAGATAAACGGACGTACCTGTTGTAGAAGGTCATAAAAAAGCCCCCGCCGATGCCGCAGCTCTGCCGTTGAACGACGCCTATACACACCATGGTGGCGATAGCGGCGTCCACGGCCGACCCTCGATGCACTGCCAGGATCTTGCTGGAGACAACAGATGAGGAATAGGTTGACAGAAACACTCTGAAACTATCCAACCTTACAACAATACTTTCCCCATGATTGTGGAAAACTCAACTTATCAACGAATCAACGAAAGTGATTCCATCTCTTTCAAAGGGGGGAGCGAACTGTAAATGAGCAAACATCCATTTATTTGGGAGAGATGACTCCAGTAACCATTTGATAATCTTGGGAGGGTGGAGGGGAAACGGTGGGGCTTGTTGCAAGGTGTTTTTCTTTAAAAAAACAGGCTCATAGTTTAAACAAATATATCTGGTTTTGTAGAAGGAGCTGAAATATCTCGATACAAGATCCCAGCCAACCCCACCCTCCAACCTCTTTAGACCACAGCACCCCCTCCCCCTACCTCCCCAGACCCAGACACCCACTCCCCTACCTCTCTAGACCACAGCACCCCCTCCCCCTACCTCCCCAGACCCAGACACCCACTCCCCTACCTCTCTAGACCACAGCACCCCCTCCCCCTACCTCCCCAGACCCAGACACCCACTCCCCTACCTCTCTAGACCACAGCACCCCCTCCCCCTACCTCCCCAGACCCAGACACCCACTCCCCTACCTCTCTAGACCACAGCACCCCCTCCCCCTACCTCCCCAGACCCAGACACCCACTCCCCTACCTCTCTAGACCACAGCACCCCCTCCCCCTACCTCCCCAGACCCAGACACCCACTCCCCTACCTCTCTAGACCACAGCACCCCCTCCCCTACCTCCCCAGACCCAGACACCCACTCCCCTACCTCTCTAGACCACAGCACCCCCTCCCCCTACCTCCCCAGACCCAGACACCCACTCCCCTACCTCTCTAGACCACAGCACCCCCTCCCCTACCTCCCCAGACCCCAGCACCCCCTCCCCTACCTTCCCAGAACAAGCCATCTACCCCCTACCTCAACAGAACCAGCCAACCACTCCCCTACAACTCTAGACCCAAGCCTCTCCTCTCACATACCCAGACCACAGCCTCACCTCCCCCTACCTCCCCAGAAGACCCAGCCACCCACCCCCCCTACCTCCTCGGACCCACCCACTCCCCCTACCTCCTCGGACCCACCCACTCCCCCTACCTTCTCGGACCCATCAACTCCCCCTACCTCCTCGGACCAACCCCACACCCCCATCTCCCCAAACCACAACCCCAGCCCCCCTTCCCCTACCTCCCCACACCACAGCACCCACTGCCCCTACCTACCCAGACCCAGCCACCCCTACCCCCTACCTCAACAGACCCTCCCTTATCAACGATATCCATCCTATATCCTGACAGCAGCGTTAAACAACAAAGATACACACAAAGCAAAACACTCGTAATCCAGTTTATCCCTATAGCATAACTATGTGATATTGAAGAAAACCAGTATCGTTTGAGAATCGCTTACGTTCCGATATCCGAGCATATTTTAGCATCAGAAGTGACAGAGGCAAATCTGTAGTAGCCTCTCTTCGACTTTGGCGGTTGTTGTACGGAAGATTTGGTGCTCGTCTCCACTAGCTGTGGCGCATCGTGATGAAAGGACCTCAGACCAAATCCCAGTCCGAAGGCCAGACCGAGGCCAATGATAAGGGCTCCCGCTATCAGGGCAATGACGATTGGGCGGGAACGACGCCTGTGGAGCAGACGATGCTTACAAGAATCAAGAAGTAGGTCTGTGAGAATTATAGCACTGGTACTAAACCTTCCTTAATTGTGTTAATATTTTATTCATAACAATTTGATAGGAATTTCATGGAAACGTGGAAAATGATAATAACTTGGGATAAACTTTCTTTATTGTTTGAAACAACATTTCAAGACTACTTCAAGCGCCTTCATCGGGTCACTAACGACAGTTCAAGACCACTTCAAGCGCCTTCATCAGATGACTAACGACAGTTCAAGACTACTTCAAGCGCCTTCATCAGGTGACTAACGACAGTTCAAGACTACTTCAAGCGCCTTCATCAGGTGACTAACGACAGTTCAAGACTTCTGCAAGCGCCTTCATCAGGTGACTAACGACGATTCAAGACTACTTCAAGCGCCTTCATCAGGTGACTAACGACGATTCAAGACTACTTCAAGCGCCTCCATCAGGTGACTAACGACGATTCAAGACTACTTCAAGCGCCTTCATCAGATGACTAACGACGATTCAAGACCACTTCAAGCGCCTTCATCAGGTGACTAACGACAGTTCAAGACTTCTGCAAGCGCCTTCATCAGGTGACTAACGACGATTTAAGACTACTTCAAGCGCCTTCATCGGGTGACTAACAAGGATTCAAGACTACTTCAAGCGCCTTCATCAGGTGACTAACGACAATTCAAGACTACTTCAAGCGCCTTCATCAGGTGACTAACGACGATTCAAGTCTATTTTGCGAGCTTCACCTGATGAAATGTTGTTACTAACTATACAGAAGTTGTTATCCTCCAAAGGTTTCATGTCTTCAGTTTGTAGCAACTAAAGATAACTGGCACATGCCATTGGTCTGTGAAGTGAAGTGAGTGAGGTGACTGGAGTCAGTTAAACAACACCTGCTTCCGTTTGGTCTGTGAAGTGAAGTGAAGTGAGTGAGGTGACTGGAGTCAGTAAACAACACCTGCTTCCGTTTGGTCTGTGAAGTGAAGTGAGTGAGGTGACTGGAGTCAGTAAACAGCACCTGCTTCCGTTTGGTCTGTGAAGTGAAGTGAGTGAGGTGACTGGAGTCAGTAAACAACACCTGCTTCCGTTTGGTCTGTGAAGTGAAGTGAGTGAGGTGACTGGTGTCAGTAAACAACACCTGCTTCCGTTTGGTCTGTGAAGTGAAGTGAGTGAGGTGACTGGAGTCAGTTAAACAACACCTGCTTCCGTTTGGTCTGTGAAGTGAAGTGAGTGAGGTGACTGGAGTCAGTAAACAACACCTGCTTCCGTTTGGTCTGTGAAGTGAAGTGAGTGAGGTGACTGGAGTCAGTAAACAACACCTGCTTCCGTTTGGTCTGTGAAGTGAAGTGAGTGAGGTGACTGGTGTCAGTAAACAACACCTGCTTCCGTTTGGTCCTTGAAGTGAAGTGAGTGAGGTGACTGGAGTCAGTAAACAACACCTGCTTCCGTTTGGTCTGTGAAGTGAAGTGAGTGAGGTGACTGGAGTCAGTAAACAACACCTGCTTCCGTTTGGTCTGTGAAGTGAAGTGAGTGAGGTGACTGGAGTCAGTAAACAACACCTGCTTCCGTTTGGTCCTTGAAGTGAAGTGAGTGAGGTGACTGGAGTCAGTAAACAACACCTGCTTCCGTTTGGTCTGTGAAGTGAAGTGAGTGAGGTGACTGGAGTCAGTAAACAACACCTGCTTCCGTTTGGTCCTTGAAGTGAAGTGAGTGAGGTGACTGGAGTCAGTAAACAACACCTGCTTCCGTTTGGTCTGTGAAGTGAAGTGAGTGAGGTGACTGGAGTCAGTAAACAACACCTGCTTCCGTTTGGTCTGTGAAGTGAAGTGAGTGAGGTGACTGGAGTCAGTAAACAACACCTGCTTCCGTTTGGTCTGTGAAGTGAAGTGAGTGAGGTGACTGGAGTCAGTAAACAACACCTGCTTCCGTTTGGGGGCGAAAATGGACAATTGTCAAGCTGGGCTGATACAAATTCGCAGTGGGATACACCAATAACGGTCTTCACATAATTGTACAACATGATTAAAGCTGAAACGGCGTTCAGCAATATTCAATCAATGAATAGAACCCGAGCTTTCGGCGTGACGTGCGAGCGCTTTAACCAAAAGGTCACCCCACACCCCTCCACAAACAGAGGGAAGGGTACCGGCCAACTCATCATCATCACGTTCATGATGTTCATCATTCAGGGACACGATCAACATGACCTTATTGTGGAATGAGATATCGTTGTTTACATAATCGGTATCGCACGTGGTCAAGGTCAATAGCGACTCCATTGTCTTCTAATGCGCGAGGTATGACTACAAGAAGGCACACGCTCTTGCACACACCTAATGTTGAACAGCCCCACCCCTCCCCATCCCCCCACACCCCCACACCCCCACCTGCCTACCTGTTCCCATGTTTGAATAAGGTCAGCGAAACAACACTATGAAAATTCGTCGTTTTTAGGTCAAATTGAGGTAAGTTAATTGCAGTCAAAATGATACCTCAAAGAATGAACGATAGGTGTACGTGATTTCACACTACATTCAGAAATGGGTCAGTAATCGGCACAAAGGACATTTCAATATGGCTGTCTAAATGTTCAAGATTAAGTCGACTTGGATTTCTTAGGAACGCCGTAACTGGGAACAGTCTTGCTAAGTTTCAGTTCCATATGTGTGTGTCTTGTGCTTCCAGATGACGTGTCAATAGGAAAAGAATGAGTGAGGCAGACGGACTAATAACGCGGGGCGGTCGGGTAGCCCAATGGTTAAAGCGTTCGCTCGTCACGCCGAAGACGCTGGTTTGATTCCAGACATGGGTACAATGTGTAAAGCCCATTTCTGGTGTCCGACAGAAGACGGTCTGGAAATATTCGATTCAGGAACTGGCAAACCAGTGACTAGGAACAAGATCAATGATCTACGCCAACTGTCTGCGATGACCATGCAATCAGTCAGGTGCCAGAGCCACACCCATTGATCAAATGTATTCATCCAACGACAAACATAGGTTGAAGGGCACCGTGCCTGTCCCACCGCTGGGTGATTGACGAGGTATTGCCTTTGTAAGATTACCCGATGTCAATATGTACCGACAGGTGGCGCAGGATACGGTTACCTTGTCGCGAACATCTAGTACCATCACTATGTGATAGTGATTCATAAACGCATGCTCTTGATACAGTCTGACTCGTACAAGCGACTCTGCTTTATGCAGATGTTTCTGTTGGACATGGAGAGTTTTTTTTAAATTATTTACATATGCGTCCTGGTTGTTTTATGTTAATCAGTTGCATGACCTAGTTTAAAACGCTAACACGGCAGAAGTCTCGACGGGCAAGCGCTCTTACATCGACGGTGACATGACCTACAAACAGCAGTATACAGCAGTGTCAGAGCGTCCTACATACAGCAGTATACAGGGCTGTCAGGGCGTCCTACATACAGCAGTATACAGCAGTGTCAGGGCGTCCTACATACAGCAGTATACAGCAGTGTCAGGGCGTCCTACATACAGCAGTATACAGCAGTGTCAGGGCGTCCTACATACAGCAGTATACAGCAGTGTCAGGGCGTCCTACATACAGCAGTATACAGCAGTGTCAGGGCGTCCTACATACAGCAGTATACAGCAGTGTCAGGGCGTCCAACATACAGCAGTATACAGCAGTGTCAGGGCGTCCTACATACAGCAGTACACAGCAGTGTCAGGGCGTCCTATATACAGCAGTATACAGCAGTGTCAGGGCGTCCAACATACAGCAGTATACAGCAGTGTCAGGGCGTCCAACATACAGCAGTATACAGCAGTGTCAGGGCGTCCAACATACAGCAGTATACAGCAGTGTCAGGGCGTCCTACATACAGCAGTATACAGCAGTGTCAGGGCGTCCAACATACAGCAGTATACAGCAGTGTCAGGGTGTCCTACATACAGCAATATACAGCAGTGTCAGGGCGTCCAACATACAGCAGTATACAGCAGTGTCAGCAGTATACAGCAGTGTCAGGGCGTCCTACATACAGCAGTATACAGCAGTGTCAGGACGTCCTACATACAGCAGTATACAGCAGTGTCAGCAGTATACAGCAGTGTCAGGGCGTCCTACATACAGCAGTATACAGCAGTGTCAGGGCGTCCTACATACAGCAGTATACAGCAGTGTCAGGGCGTCCTATATACAGCAGTATACAGCAGTGTCAGGGCGTCTTACATACAGCAGTATACAGCAGTGTCAGGGCGTCCTACGTACAGCAGTATACTGTAGGTGGTGCTTTAATTGATCGTGTCAGGGCGTCCTACATACAGCAGTATACTGTAGGTTGTGTTTTAATTGATCGTGTCAGACGTCCTACATACAGCAGTATACTGTAGGTTGTGTTTTAACTGATCGTGTCAGGGCGTCCTACATACTGCAGTATACTGTAGGTTGTGCTTTAATTCATCGTGTCAGACGTCCTACATACAGCAGTATACTGTAGGTTGTGTTTTAACTGATCGTGTTAGGGCGTCCTACATACTGCAGTATACTGTAGGTTGTGCTTTAATTCATCGTGGCAGACGTCCTACATACAGCAGTATACTGTAGGTTGTGCTTTAATTGATCGTGTCAGACGTCCTACATACAGCAGTATACTGTAGGATGCGGTTTGTTGATGTGCTGATTAGTGATACAAGGATCAGATTCTTTGCATTTGGTGAAATTCAGTGCACGATGTGACAGGAAGCCGAGCGAGCAATTTAAGAAAAAAGACACTAGTCAGTATATTATAAACTTGTCATAATCGATACATTTGTAAATGATGTCGCTTCTTAAAATCAATTCTCTATAACGTGTCCCAAGAGTTCCTCGGACACCATCTTTCATCGAGTTTGGACCAGCAAATGTGAAATACAAATGCTTAGGGCGTGAAGTAAAAACTTTTACTGAATCATGCCAGTTTAAGGCGCCAATGACCACACTCTCACAGCAGAGGGATGCCCCAATTGCTAGACAAGACATGGGTAGTACAGGTGGAATGTTCCGTCATGTGGAGGGACACCTGGCCGAGGGTAAATAGGTCGTACTAACATTATATAGCTGGAAAATATCGCTCCTCATATATCTGACATCAAACATTTATATCTATACCAGTCAATCTATTGTTACCCATCACGAGTTAAAAAAAAGAAAACTCACGTTATATCTTTCCCTTCAAGATCTGAGTCGGCCATTCTGGAAGACGATGCTGGACGACAGGGGGTGATGACAGACTGAACGAGAGGTGATACAGTGCCCTCGATATACGGTTAAACTGGGAAGTGTAGATGCATACATTACCCTCGATAAACAGCTCTACGGGTTAGATGCTTACAGTACCATCGAAATACATCTTTACTGGGTAATGTAGATACATACAGTACCATCGAAATACATCTTTAATGGGTAATGTAGGTGCACACAGTACCCTTGATATACAGCTTTACTGGGTAATGTAGGAGCACACAGTACCATCGAAATACATCTTTACTGGGTAATGTAGGTGCACACAGTACCATCGAAATACATCTTTACTGGGTAATGTAGATGCACACAGTACCATCGAAATACATCTTTACTGGGTAATGTAGGTGCACACAGTACCATCGAAATACATCTTTACTGGGTAATATAGATACATACAGTACCCTTGATATACATCTTTACTGGGTAATATAGATACATACAGTAGCCTTGATATACAGCTTTACTGGGTAATGTAGATACATACAGTACCCTTGATATACATCTTTACTGGGTAATGTAGATACATTAGTAGCCTTGATCTACATCTTTACTGGGTAATGTAGATACATACAGTAGCCTTGATATACAGCTCTACTGGGTAATGTAGATGCATACAGTACCCTTGATATACAGCTCTACTGGGTAATGTAGATACATACAGTACCCTTGATATACAGCTCTACTGGGTAATGTAGATGCATACAGTACCCTTGATATACAGCTCTACTGGGTAATGTAGATACATACAGTACCCTTGATATACAGCTCTACTGGGTAATGTAGATACATACAGTACCCTTGATATACAGCTTTACTGGGTAATGTAGATACATACAGTACCTTCGATATACAGCTCTACTGGGTAATGTAGATACATACAGTACCCTTGATATACAGCTCTACTGGGTAATGTAGATGCATACAGTACCCTTGATATACAGCTCTACTGGGTAATATAGATACATACAGTACCCTTGATATACAGCTTTACTGGGTAATGTAGATACATACAGTACCCTTGATATACAGCTCTACTGGGTAATGTAGATACATACAGTACCCTTGATATACAGCTCTACTGGGTAATGTAGATACATACAGTATCTTCGATAGACAGCTTTAACGGGTAATGTAGATACATACAGTACCCTTGATATACAGCTTTACTGGGTAATGTAGATACATACAGTACCTTCGATATACAGCTCTACTGGGTAATGTAGATACATACAGTACCCTTGATATACAGCTCTACTGGGTAATGTAGATACATACAGTATCTTCGATATACATCTTTACTTGGTAATGTAGATACATAGAGCACCCTTGATATACAGCTTTACTGGGTAATGTAGATACATACAGTACCTTCGATATACAGCTCTACTGGGTAATGTAGATACATAGAGCACCCTTGATATACAGCTCTACTGGATAATGTAGATACATACAGTACCCTTGATATACAGCTCTACTGGGTAATGTAGGTACATACAGTACCCTTGATATACAGCTCTACTGGGTAATGTAGGTACATACAGTACCCTTGATATACAGCTCTACTGGGTAATGTAGATACATAGAGCACCCTTGATATACAGCTTTGCTGGATAATGTAGATGCATACAGTACCTTTGATATACAGCTTTACTGGGTAATGTAGATACATACAGTACCTTCGATATACAGCTCTACTGGGTAATGTAGATACATACAGTACCCTTGATATACAGCTTTACTGGGTATGTAGATGCATACAGTACCCTTGATGTACAGCTTTGCTGGATAATGTAGATGCATACAGTACCCTTGATATACAGCTTTACTGGGTAATGTAGATACATACAGTACCTTCGATATACAGCTCTACTGGGTAATGTAGATACATACAGTACCCTTGATATACATAGCCCCTGCATCCCACAAGGACGAGGCAACTCTCATTCCCTTTATGTCAATGGTGACGGAACACCCAACACTACAGGTGACAAAACATCCAACACTAATGGTGACAAAACACCCAACACCCTTGGTGACAAAACACCCAACACTACAGGTGACAAAACACCCAACACTACAGGTGACAAAACACCCAATACTTTTAGTGGGAAAAAAACCAACACTTTTGGTGACAAAACACCCAACACTATTGGTGACAAAACTCCCAACACTATTGGTGACAAAGACCCAACACTACAGGTGACAAAACACCCAAAACTACTCGTGATAAAACACCCAACTCTACTGGTGACAAAACACCCAACACTACAGTTGACGAAACACCCAACACTACTGGTGACAAAACACCCAACACTATTGGTGACAAAACACCCAACACTACTGGTGACAAAACACCCAACACTACTGGTGACAAAACACCCAACACTACTGGTGACAAAACACCCAACACTACAGGTGACAAAACACTTGAGTCTAATAGTGACAATACACTCAACACTATTAGTGGCAATACACTTGAGTCTTATGGTGACAAAACACCATACACTACTGGTGACAAAACACCCAACACTACTGGTGACAAAACACCCAACACTACTGGTGACAAAACACCATACACTACTGGTGACAAAACACCCAACACTACTGGTGACAAAACACCCAACACTTTTGATGACAAAACACCCAACACTACTGGTGACGAAACACCCAACACTACTGGTGACAAAACACCCAACACTTTTGATGACAAAACACCCAACACTACTGGTGACAAAACACCCAACACTACTGGTGACAATACACTTCAGTATAATGGTGACAAAACACTCAACACTATTGGTGACAATACACTTGAGTCTTATGGTGACAAAACACCCAACACTATTGGTGACAAAACACTTGAGTCTTATGGTGACAATACACTCAACACTATTAGTGACAAAACACTTGAGTCTAATGGTAACAAAACACCCAGTACATTAAATCAAAATTACTCCTTTATTACCGCGATCCATTGTCAGCAACAAGTTTAGTGTTGTATTTCTTACAACATTATATAACCCTTCAAAGTATCGCCACATTCAAGTCGAAGATAGGGTGGGTAAATGTCCTACATACAACTCAATGGCGACTGATATGGTCGATCCTGGAGTACCAAAACCATTATGCATTGTGTGAGAACCCTGTCGTCACGGAGACCACGACTCAGAAATCCACCTGGGTCAATTTCAGTGCTTGGCATTATAACCATCCCTTTGAACCACCATGAGATCATATTCAACAAGTTGTTTCACCCGACCCCCGCTACCACTGCTGGTTGCATTCCCGTAGCAACGCCGAGCAGTAAATATGTCATGTTTGTATCAGTAACAAAGCGTCATTCCCATAGCAACGCCGAGCAGTAAATATGTCATGTGTGTATCAGTAACAAAGCGTCGTTCCCGTAGCAACGCCGAGGAGTAAATATGTCATGTGTGTATCAGTAACAAAGCGTCATTCCCATAGCAACGCCGAGCAGTAAATATGTCATCTGTGTATCAGTAACAAAGCGTCATTCCCATAGCAACGCCGAGCAGTAAATATGTCATGTTTGTATCAGTAACAAAGCGTCATTCCCATAGCAACGCCGAGCAGTAAATATGTCATGTGTGTATCAGTAACAAAGCGTCATTCCCATAGCAACGCCGAGCAGTAAATATGTCATCTGTGTATCAGTAACAAAGCGTCATTCCCATAGCAACGCCGAGGAGTAAATATGTCATGTGTGTATCAGTAACAAAGCGTCATTCCCATAGCAACGCCGAGCAGTAAATATGTCATCTGTGTATCAGTAACAAAGCGTCATTCCCATAGCAACGCCGAGCAGTAAATATGTCATGTGTGTATCAGTAACAAAGCGTCATTCCCATAGCAACGCCGAGCAGTAAATATGTCATGTGTGTATCAGTAACAAAGCGTCATTCCCATAGCAACGCCGAGCAGTAAATATGTCATGTGTGTATCAGTAACAAAGCGTCATTCCCATAGCAACGCCGAGCAGTAAATATGTCATGTGTGTATCAGTAACAAAGCGTCATTCCCATAGCAACGCCGAGCAGTAAATATGTCATGTTTGTATCAGTAACAAAGCGTCATTCCCATAGCAACTACGAGCAGTAAATATGGCATGTGTGTATCAGTAACAAAGCGTCATTCCCATAGCAACGCCGAGCAGTAAATATGTCATGTTTATATCAGTAACAAAGCGTCATTCCCATAGCAACGCCGAGCAGTAAATATGTCATGTTTGTATCAGTAACAAAGCGTCATTCCCATAGCAACGCCGAGCAGTAAATATGTCATGTTTGTATCAGTAACAAAGCATCATTCCCATAGCAACGCCGAGCAGTAAATATGTCATGTTTGTATCAGTAACAAAGCGTCATTCCCATAGCAACGCCGAGCAGTAAATATGTCATGTGTGTATCAGTAACAAAGCGTCATTCCCATAGCAACGCCGAGCAGTAAATATGTCATGTTTGTATCAGTAACAAAGCGTCATTCCCATAGCAACGCCGAGCAGTAAATATGTCATGTTTGTATCAGTAACAAAGCGTCATTCCCATAGCAAAGCCGAGCAGTAAATATGTCATCTGTGTATCAGTAACAAAGCGTCATTCCCATAGCAACGCCGAGCAGTAAATATGTCATGTTTGTATCAGTAACAAAGCGTCATTCCCATAGCAACGCCGAGCAGTAAATATGTCATGTTTGTATCAGTAACAAAGCGTCATTCCCATAGCAACTACGAGCAGTAAATATGTCATGTGTGTATCAGTAACAAAGCGTCATTCCCATAGCAAAGCCGAGCAGTAAATATGTCATGTGTGTATCAGTAACAAAGCGTCATTTCCATAGCAACACCGAGCAGTAAATATGTCATGTGTGTATCAGTAACAAAGCGTCATTCCCATAGCAACGCCGAGCAGTAAATATGTCATGTTTGTATCAGTAACAAAGCGTCATTCCCATAGCAAAGCCGAGCAGTAAATATGTCATCTGTGTATCA